AACTTTTTCTTCTCTTTGATTCGTATTTTGATTCTAAGTCGCCCCAAACCCATATCGACGTCGAAAAACCAAAGGAGAAACCAAAACAGAAGACGGAGCTCGGTCGAGTTGCCGAACCCGAAACCTAAAATCCCTTCGGTGAGCCCAGATCCCCTTCCCGTTCCCTTTCATTATTTGACCATTGAATTACTGATTTGTTTATGGTACAGGACAACCGAAGAAAAATCCTGACTGCGAGGGAAGAATGGCATTGCCACCACACCAGAAACCCCACCCGCTGGTAAGTGTCGATTTTTTCTTTTGTTTCACTAATAGAGGGCACCTAACCTCGAGTTTTACAGGTTTTCGCATCAGATCGGCCAAAACCGCCCAGACTGAGAGGATGCATTGCTGTGGGTAGTGGAGCACCGGAGCACGGCGGCACTGCCATGTCGGAATCCTAAACCGGCCCGAAAAAATTTTAAACCCTTTTTTGGCCTTTTTTGAGTATTTTCAAGATATTTGATACGTGTTTTTTGGTTTTTGTAGAAAAACCCAAGAAATCTAGGAATCAGGAACTGCTGGGAAGTGCAGTAAATAAAGGTGGTGTTTCGAATGCCAACCCGGAGTAAGAATCCCTCATCCTTTCTACCATTATGGCTATTAAAGTGCAATAAATAACAAACGATGAAATTTTTAAATATTGACAACCTCTGATTACTTAAATACAGGTCACTGATGGAGCTGGTGACTGGTCAGTGTATGATTGCACTAGTTTATCTATACTGCTACTACATGCACTTTAATATTTTGTTTTAATTAATTTCTCGCTTATTAGTATACTCAACCATTTTATCCCTATTAGTTAACTGGTTTGAATAAATGTCTTGATTTCACATTCTTTAACTATCGAGTATTAAATTATATTGACTATTTAAATATCGTTCTATTATCCTATAATTATGAAAGGAGATTATTGTATGTAATTAATGGCTAAATAATGATGTGGACATGTATGTATTTAGTTAACGTTATTAAACTAAAAGATTTAGCGGGTGTCATGGAAAGGGTGTACATACCCGGTACATAGGGCAAACCCTACCGTGGACATTAACCTCAGTTGAACGGGCCTGAGAAGTCACATACCAGAAGGGGTTGGGAAGTGTTTTGTTCACACTTATACCGGACGTGGTATTGAGGCAGTGATACGTTTAGTATCCATTACAAGACGGGGTATGGGGACGACTGGTTGATTAATAGAATGGTTATTGGGTCCACTTGTAGTGAGGAATCCCTATAGACTCCCAATGACACCGGTAAATGAGTCCAAAGGTAAATGTGATTATTTTTTGTCTCTTAGAGTGTATAATGTATTACTATCTTGATTCTTTCCTTCATAAGTAGTATTTGAGAACTTAAAAGGTAAGTACGAAATTAATGTTTTCAAGTTAAATGAATTTATAAAAAAAATAGTTCCATTGGTTGCTTTGTGACTTTTAT